CAGACAATTGATATGAAGTAACTAAATCACTTTTATTTCTACTCTTATATATACTCAGAGAATGAATATTTAAGACGTAGAACCATGAGAAGACTCACAAGAACAGTATATGGTGTAAAATATATCAACGCTTCATTCGAAAAACTTGATCGTTAGAAGCTTACCCGACCATTCTTCCTTAAACGATCAAATCAGAGGCTTTATTAGTACAGTCTGAACCTGTCAAACATAATATGTTGCGCTAGACTTCTCGTGCACCTCTAGATATGTGTTTTGCAGATACTTTTAACATAAACCGTATTTATCACTTTCATTTACAATCGGACAGAAGTAACAAAAGGCAATTTGAGGAAGAAACCACGCCCAAAATTTTAATTTAACTCATAAATAGCTTCCTTGTGACGAGCGTTCATAGTCTTTATTACATGCATATCAGTCCAATTTTAATCCACTTATGGATAAAATAATGTGCTTTCAAAGTTCTGAAAGCAAAATTCCTCTCGCTCTAGAGATTTTATTACCTGCTGCAAAATATTTCTACCAGTCGAAGATGCAGATTTTCTGTTATTAGGCTTATTATACACTGCCAGGCAATGCTTTATTCACGTGCCGACAAAAAAATTGTAATTTTTGTCAAAATTTGGTCTAGTTGACCACATGTTCTTTTCTAGGGCTGCTTTTATCAGCGACGTTTCGCAGTGTTAACAATCAAACGACACGCCAGTGCCATTTTGCATAACACTTTCATCGGTTACTGTAAATAAACAGTAAGAAGTAATTGATAGCTAAGTTCGTTGTATCTACTGCAATGCAAAGAAATTGTAGGCGGGCCGAACCAGTAAGTTTAAGCTGCCATCTAGACGGATATAGTGACTTTTGAAAAGTGCGTAGCAATGACTGTAACTTTTTAAGCAATTACTGAAGCACGAGGCTGAACTCTGTGCCAAGCGACGAACGAGTACTTAATTTGTTTGCCGAGATGGGCGTTACCTGACACAACTGTGAACACAAAACTTGCATCATCAATAATGGTTTCAAGTACTAAAGGTTTATCGTCGAATTTTAATTTCGCATAACACTTTTACCGCAATCACACTTTTCTATCTTAAATCCTTCATTATTTTGTCAAAAACTAAAGTTGAGGAAACTCTTGAACATTTTCAGCCGTATTCCAACATGCAGCGTCGTTTTAGAGTGGGAACTGCAATTCCTTAATTTTCTTTCCCTTTAACCTGTCGGCTTCCTTATGTGATAAACAAAGCGGAGATCAAAGAAAAACTTTGAAGATTGAAGTGGAGTAACGTTACCCATGAATAGCAATTGTTCATATGTCACTCGATCCTGAGGTACAAAGGAAACTTTATGTGAAGTTGTAAATGCTCCATATATGTGTGATCATTGACGTTAGATCCCCTTTTTGCATAAAAGTTCCGGCCGCTACTGTCTCTCATAGCTATTTAGATTTTTCTGTTGTCTGCCGACACGTGTTGTTAAAGAGAAATCGAAAGTTACCATTTCGAGTATCATTGGATAGAAATGAATGTGAATAATCAGAATGTTTAACTGATGAATGAGATTCTTAAATTTAGATGCGGTCAAGAACAAATTAATTAAGTTTTACTCAAACCCATGGATACCACGTAAATTCTCTGAGTAAAAGCCTTGACTTGCATCACAGTAGAGCGTTTGTGCTGTGACTAATCGTCAGTTTGCCTGCAGTGGTTGAGAATAACTAGCAACTAAAATATCTTGCATGACAAAGTCCTCAACAACGATCGCTGTGCGACATTTCCTCAAATTCTGTCATGGCGCCTAATTAGCCGCTCTGTCCATTCTAGACAAGGTGACTTTAGCTATCGTTCGCATTCTGGCGCTCACACAAGAAATGTTACATTGTCCAAACAATCAATATCACTGAAAACTGCTCCCAGGGCTGGCTGAATGACTCATTCTTTAAGTCTTTCTTCAAAAATTAACATTAATCGTGATTGCGCTGAAGTCGTTGCTTTCTAACCCATCACAAACAGTACCCGTCATGTAATCATGTTTGAAGCTATAGGGTGATTCATCAGCCTCAGCTTGTCAGATCCTAGCAAACACATTTCCTTATATTTCCTTAGAAATTTTCACCAATTGCGATTTGACAAGAGCAAACAATTAAGCACCGTCCTTTGCAATCGTGATCGTTACTTCTGTTCTGACGCGCTGACTTGGAAGCAGGAACCGATTTGTAAAGAACTTACCATACAAGCGGATCGCCGCAGCCATATAATACGATATAATTATTGCTACCGCACACTCGGCGACTAAGGTATTGCCCGACTCGTCTTGCCTCCCGATGAAGAGCAAGCATCATGCCGTTGACAGTTAGCGCAATCCAACACAGATCTTGAGAGGTTCTCCGTGTTACCTACTTGACTCTAGTACTAGAAAAATGAGACCACTTCATTACAGACCATGCAAAAAATCTGCATTCGTCCGAAAAGTGAAACTGCTGTATGTGCGTATTTATATGCATAATCGCACATTTTGTTCATGTTTCCAACCTACGGTTATTTCAAGCGATTGTTGGAAAGTATCTAGTCGCTGATAAACTTAGAGATCGAGCAGCAAAGTGATACCTGGCATCACGTTATAAAATTTTCTGTTACGTTTTTTGCACAAATGGAGACTGTGGTACTGATAGAGGTACATAATGGATCCAGAGATCAAATAATAATAAGTTGTTCTGAATTTCGTTAGCTGGGCTGAAATAAATGAGAGTAAGTTATCAGTTACATATTGATTAACAGCCTCTGTTAATGCCTCTGAATTTCTTCTGCCCGCCTCCAAAACTTGCCTTACATCGTTCAACAGATTTTCCCTTTGTATATCGTTTCTATTGTTGATTTCATATTTTCATTCATTGTGCTGTAATTTCTAAACTGCTTATTTCACCAGTCGGTAGCGTTATCTCGTTACTTTTCCACACCATTCCCTTATTATTCTCGATCATAACACAGTTTCGGAAATTGATTACCATTCTGATATCTTATGAAAAGATTCACGCGCATTAGATCAGATTCAAGCATACATGCAATTTCAACTCGTCCACGTAAACAAGGTTTGATATTAGATTAGATATTAGGTATTTGATATTTTGCTCCTTTTGCTGATATGAAAGTAAACGCAAAATTGAATGCTAATTCCATCCAGTCAGAAACAGCGGAATGCCACTCCCCGTGTGATACCATAAAGTTTATTAACAGATTTTAATATGTTATTTCTGATTGGGTGAAATTAACATGATGCTGATATGCAGACAATGAGAAAAATTCACACTGCACTAGCTTCTTTGAATCTCAATGATTTAATGGACTTATAAAGCAGCCAGTTGAGCAAAATCCACGGCAAACAAAATAGAAGCATCGAGATTAAACCTCCGTCGAAAATTTGTCGTTTGACCCTACAGATCCAAAGGAGGCTTTGTTCGCAGAAGTTTTGCTTTCCACTAATATATCTTTAATATATAAGAAACTTCAGTAGTTCGTCGGTGAAATTGCAGATTTTCAGGTATTTCAGAATATGACCATGTGATATTTGATGAATGTCTTCCAAACGTCGATTCAGAACATGACCTTATTGGTCTTTTTCAGTTCCAAACCTTGATGCAGCGCCTTGCCAGCGAGCAGAGGGTCCTTAGATCCCCTTAATTTTGTCCATGAATCTTTTTTATTCAGAAAATGTGACGTTTTTCGAATGGAGATTATATAAATTGCACTGAATAATATAAATTTCATCCAAATCAAGACTCGTGGAAGACTCGTGATCGACCCGTTGCTGGTTCCTTCGGTGTACGCTGTATCCGATCGTTCATATTTAGGTATGTCAATCCTCCTTCCAACCGCAATAATTCTCTTTGTCTATTTTGTCACATCCTCACGAACAGAAATATGTAAAACAGGTGTTTTTCGCGCATCTATCAACTTCTGCCCTGGTACCTAACACACTCGACCTTTGGTAACGCGGGCGTCAACCGAAGCAGCAGAAGAAATTTCCAGCTATGATACACAACAATGCGCTAATGGTTGACCAACTTTAGTCTGGCTTTTCACTTTAAAACCTGTCAAGCCCGGATGGCCCTACCAGAAACCGAAGCTAGCGCAAGCGTAGCTTCGAGGATTATTTTGGTTTGAAAGACCAGCTATGGCACGGTTGTGGTCTTACGGACAGCCTTGACAGCAAACACTACGATTATCTAAGCTTCTTCGATGATTAAAATCACTTATATTGAAGCAGATGAATTATACATATATCTTATTGCCATAATGTAGAGATTTATAAAATAATATTGACAGGGTATCTTGGATAATAACGATGGCATTGTATTTTTAAGGATTTCCGGTGTTTACTGTATTCAGTCACCTGTTTGTCTTCTTTAGGCTTCAAAACAAGTGTTAGTGATACTTTTCAAGCAATAATCTAATAACCTAACAAAGCTGTAAATAAGTATTTAAATAAATTTGAAGTAAACGTATATAATTTGAATTTGCCAAATGATTCTTAGGTTTAATTACCGTAACTCTGTTCAGTGAATTTAATAGTATTGTAATCGGTGGTTGTGCATTGGGTGCATCGTTTCGTATTTGAATTGTACGGTGATTGATTTTTAGATGTTTTTTTATAGTAATCTCTTGCTCTCTTGAACCTTCAAACAAATGGAATCAGAGGCTTTTGGCTGCGAAGAAATGAATGCGCCGTCTGAAGAAACGGCACTGAAACTTACGGAGCTCGTTAGGGAGCTGAAGGAATCAAAATCGAATGTCGAACAATCCAAGCAGACGATAAGTAGACTAGGTAATGACTGTCATATACTAATGATTGAAATTGAATGAATGTTTTGAAAGTTCTATTTTTTATGTGGCTTTCGTTCATTGCATATTGTAGTGTGTAATGCATCCTTGCTGTAGAACATCAGTATTGAACGTTGTGGCCATATTAGTTGCTTTAAGCGTAGTATCCCACTGCAGCGCGCGGTCCCTTAATTGTCAGTTCATTAGTTTGTTGAAGACCGATAGAAATATTCGTACGTTGGTTATCAGATTTCTCATCTAACGACACTAAAATATACACCATCACAGTATTCTTAACAAAGCTTACATCGATCTAAATTTGAACACAGAACTTTCGAAATTTAAAGCTTGTCGTTTTGGACTCGGCTGCTGAGCATTTTTCATTTCATTGTTTACACTGGGAATAACCATCATTATTTTACTGAAACAGTTTGTTCGAAGCAGTGTGTCTATGAGTATTGAAACATCACGACTATCGAGAAACACGTTACAGAATCGAAACGAATTATCGAAATTATTAAATGATAATTATACAGTCAGCTAAAGTTTGGTACCGTTAGAAGTAAACCACGAATTTTACTGGAGAATGAGCAGAACATATGTTGTTTTTTCGATCATTCCATGTTTCTCATCAGGATGATGAAGTTTTGCCACAACATCAAAAATGAGGTGATTCTTTAGGTCGCAAAATGTATATGTCTCCCACTGTTGAAATTGCTGAAAATGATTGGACTCCTTTGATTATTTTTTTTGTTCAAGAGAAACGAGAGCACAAGCAAAAGTTAATCGTTCAGAAGCGCGTGATCACCGAAGTTAACTTCATCAGAACAAGAAACCATTTCGGAAGGAATTCTGCGTGCTTTCTTGAATCGAATTGTCGATCGCAGAGACCTGAACGTTAAAAAAGATGTTTATTTTTTTTTCTCAAGTTGTCATTTTGCTCTCATTACACTACTGCTGTAGTCTTAGTCATTTTTACATAGTCTTATTGGTTACTTTATTGTACTATTTATTTGTTTAATGTGTACAGAGTTTTTTTATTTGGTCTATACTGAAAGGAGGGATTCTTTGATGAACCTTCAGGTAAACTTTTACTGCCAGGCTAGATTTGGAAACTTTCGCTTGCAAGTGTTTAGAATGATCTATCAGTTCCGTTGACTTCATAGTACCACAATATTTAGGCAATAAGATTATTGATCTCTCTACTAACAGCATACCCGTCATCTAAAAGTTAAAAAGTTAAAGCAGAGTTATCCGAATTACTCGTTAAAAAGATTTTCATAAAAACCGTAGGCGGTATTTACTGCCATATTTGAAAATATTTCAAGATCGTTGACTTTGTACTGTTTTGCATTGTCATCTAAGGTTAACGAAGCTTAAACAGCAGAGTAACCCGGATTTATAATACCTCCTTTCGAAATGGCACTTCACATTGATGTTAGGCAAATTTCACTGCTGTGACAAACCTCATATTCTTCTCAAGCAGGTCTGCCTCAACGACGTTTGTTACGATATCCATTTTCCTCCCACCCGTTTTTGGCCAGTGCGTCATTCCAAAAAGAAAACCTTTGAGTAAATTTCAGTTCTCGTTTTGAGCCATATTATCAAACCAATTTATGTCGCTCTATGAGTTCGTCTGATAGTTTTCTCAGGTAGGTGGCTTTCAACGCCTGCTCGTTCGTGACTCGATGGTGCCATCTTATTTAGAAGATGTTGCACATAAAGCGACTTTTTAAACTTTCTAAACGAGCATGGCGCGAGTACTGTTGCTTTGAGAATGGTGTTCTTCGCGTCCGTTTTTACTGTCCGCTTCTATCATATTTCTTACAACTTGTCATAATTCGCTGATGCCAGTCTTGGATTGTCGAGGATTGCGCATAGTCAGATATTGCTGACGGACAGCCTCCTAGTCTGTGAGGGTTTGCGCAGAAGTTGAGGCAACGGATTGTCTGAACAGTTCGCTTGAGATTTGCTGACGTTGGGCGATTTCGATATATCTGGATCTTGTAGGAAGATTTTATAATCCCTGTTTTGTGAAATTGGCATTTCCAAACTAACCTGGATGAGAATTACAGAGAATTAAACGTTCATTCTATACTTGCTGTATGTTGCATGGATGTAGAGCCATGAACTACAAAATCTCCGAAGCAGCTACAGTAGAAAAGTCACTGGGGATATTTTAAACCTTGTACAACAATTTTATTTAAATAGTCAATGTTGTCACCATTACTGATTCAGCTGGTAAACCCATAACAACGGGAACAACAGGTTAATTTTTATGCAGTTCGAGGTGCATCTGTTGGTGTTCGAATAGGTTTTTGTTTGGCCTTGTACAGTGATGCGGTTTTGTATCCATTCACCACGGGTGCTAAAATTCAGTTGAACCATGGCCTGCTTAAACGCTCCCCCAAGATACCAGAATTAAAAGAGGGATGTGCGACTATGCGGAGTAAATGCGAGGATTGATAAGAAATTCTTATTCTTGGTTATAGTAGCGAAATGTAACAGTTTGCTCGTATTTTACAGTGCCGCGGTTAATTTTTGTTATTTGGTTGTTGCGTTCGGGTAGGTGGAATGACTCATTGACTTTTAATTCATGTAACAATTGGTACAGGGTGCTGTAATGGGTATAATGCGGCTAAGTCTGGAACTTTCTTAGTCTATAATAAATCTGCATTATATTTTGTCTTGATAATAGAATGGTATACCTATGGAGTTTGAGGCTTGCTACTTTGGACAGTTTATCTGGTTGGATAGGTTGGTTTACCGTTAAATATATTATTTCGATTATGGTGGTAAGCAACAGAGCGCCGCATTAATAAACGATAAAAATAATTTTGATTGCAATTATACCATAAGTCAAACAACCACGTGAAATTGGCTGATCATCTGATTAGAATTGTACGGTTTATTAGCAGTGCGAATCAACGTTTTCTTATAAATTTAGCCTCATTTTTACGATTTTCATAATTATATACGCCTTCGTTTTAGAGAACGAAAATTTTGCGTTATCGATTGCACTCGCAGATTCGGAGGGTAGATGGAGACAATCACTCGTTGACCGTGAAGAGTCAGATCAGCAACTAACTCTTTACAGTAGCGAAATGAACGGTGGTGTTCTCTAACAGCAATAAATTTCGTTGTTGCAGATCTTGAGCGAAACAAACGTATCAAATGCCAGGAAGAATTGGAAATGCTTCAGAGAGAACGCGAAAATGAACAGGTGAATTGCGTATATTTCGTTTTAGTCTTTAAATAAATCGATTTTTCTCCAAGCGTCTTTTAGTTTGCTAAGGTATGCAAATTTCTTCAGATGTTTATGAAAACAACTCTTTCCATTTGATGCATCACTGATTTCTGAAGCATCAATCTGCGCCTACATAGTATTGTCAGTTTTCATTCAGTCACTTTTGGTGGCCATTTATCATTTCGGGTCACAGAGAAACACGCGTCCAGCAGCGTCTTTAACGTCCCTGATCCTTTGCCATCGTTTCAGCTTCGACAAAAGATATCTTCCCCACAGCTATTCTTTACCGTCCTCGGGGTCTTCCTCTGGTCTGTTAGCTAAGTAGTAGCGATTCCGCCTTCTTTTCTGGAGGCATTCGCAACACATGCTCAAACCACCCCAGCTGTGACTTCTCAGTTTGTAGAACTAGCGGCTGTACACTAAGACCTTCCCAGATATCAGTACTCCAGTCCATGTGGAGACGCGTGAGCCCAGCGATTCGTCTCAGAAACCCGTTTCAACCGCTTGTAAAAGGGATTGAAACGTTTCACGCTTGGTTCACGATCCACGACCGTACGCGACTGTTACGACGAAGATTTACTTGAACACAGAAAGCTTATTATTCATGCTCACCTGATTTAGTCACCGGTTCACGCCAGTTCATGCAGAACACAGCTGGCGATTCCAGTTCGACTGTCAGTCTCTTGCTCCCGTAATCACTGAGTAAGACCCTGAGGAACTTGAACTTCTCCACCTGTTTCGCTGTTTATCTGAAGGGCAACGGGCAAGAAAACGAGAAAGCGCTAGGCTTTTATGCGAACCTTTCTAGATAACTCTGAAGATCAGTTTCAGAAGATGCCAACAAACCTAAGTCGTCTGCAACAGCAGCCTTCTCGTCTTGACATATCCTAAACCGATTCACTCATCACCTTGACTGCGCCCGACCCATCCCGTCCATGCATAACGCAAACAGGAGAGGAGACAGAACGCAGCCTTGGAGGAAACCAGTACCGGTGCTCTCAGAAATGTATCGACTTAACACCATTTACTCTGATGCAGCACCTTCTATCGGCACATAGTGATTGGATGGCCCGTAGCAACTGGCCATCAGTACCGTATGGTGGCAGGCATGACCACAGATCGTTGCGCCGGATCCGGTCATAAGCTTTCTCGAAGTCAAAAAAGTACATGTAAACCAGGTAAGGAATAATTTCTGTCGGCATATATTCATAATTCCAGAGCCCTAGTGCTTCGTTGACGAGAATAAAACTGTCGAATTGGTACGTTACGGCCTTCCCGGTTGTACTTTCCTTCTAAGTGAGCATGTTTCGGTTTCCAGCTGTAAGCTTGCACTGTCGGTATCGTTTCCGTGTAGCCTTTTCTGACCTACTATATTGGGACATTACGTTGTCTTTCTCCGTTCAGAACGAGCCATGATATTTTCGTCTTCATCTTGTCGATCTCCAGTTGCCAAAAGGCGTTAAGTAGATTCTGATCGCCACGTTTTCGCAGTGTACGTCATTTCCCCAACAGCCTGTAGGGCCTTTGGTTATCTTGGTGCTGACCGAGCCGGGAATGCTATCAGCGGTTGGTAGCTAAGTTTTGCTGGCGCCCTCACCATGGTCTCCATATCTCGTCGTTTCTCTTCCAAACTTTGGACCGGCAAGGGTAAAGTTTTCAGTTTCCATTTTTGACTTAAATATAAAATAATGGTTAGGTCGTAGAAGTTTATTATACACTTCTATTGTTTAAATTTTTTAGAAGACCCACGCTTTCCAGATTGACATCCTCGAGAAAGAAAGGAAGCATTTTCAGAAATTAGTTGTGACGAAAGATAATGAAATCGGTCTACTGCGGGGTATTTGTTCTCAGTTCATTTTACAGTAATCGTTTATTGCAATCCGTTTAGGCGATATGGAAAAACTTAAGGAACTTTTGAATAATGCGCAGATGGACAATTGCAATCAGACGGCGAAAATTCGTGAAACGGACAGGAAATCTGCCGCACTTGAGGTAATATATGGGAAATTTTGTTGTATATCTCACATTGTACTGTTGGTATAGCTCTCTGTGTTCACCTGAAAACCTTCTGACCAACGCGTGTGTGAAATACGCGTCGGTTATACGTGTCATTTATGCCGTTCGATTCGGCAAGACCACACTGCAGGTTTGTCTCTGGAAGCCCAAACGACCTTGTAGGCAAGTTGTGGTCTTGTTACACAGCATTTTAGTCCTTGCGTTGCACTGATGCACAACCGCATCAATGTGTTAAGTGAAACAAACACCAGTTTGTTCGAAGAATAAAAGAATATTGTTTTACTCATTAGTATGTATGAATATTCTAAAGGGTGAAATCAAAAAAAAA